TTAGCTGTTACACAATCTGGTGTTATAATATCAAACAATTTAAAGTCAAAGTTGTCACTCACTGATTATGTTTGCTCGAAGTTAGAGTTTGTCTGGTGTTTTTAGATAATGTTGTAGTTGGTTTCTACCGTATGTTGATTGTCAGAAATTCTCTAAGAATGTTGTGGAATTATGGTCTAATTTTACATTAGTACATATATTTTTGTTAATATAATAATCGACCTAGTCCAAAGAGTTTAGTTATGTCATGACGCAAGTACATAATCATGCAATTTCGACTCATTGTCGCCACGTCCACCATTTTTGACCCTCTGTAAGTGTTACATATTGGGTGTAAATCTTCTCAGTAATTATATGATCGGCTTCAAAGCTTGTGTGGTTAGCAGCCAATGCCACTACAAAGTCGTTAATGGGCACTCAGTCTAGAGCCTATTGTAGGATCCAAACTAATGTTTGGACTGGAGGAGAGCTGACTAGGTGGGTCAGATATGCGTCCTTGCCCTTTTGAATCCAAAACAAAGTAATTGGGTAAAATGACGGTTCTTTAATTTATCATGGATTTAAATGTACATTGTTACCTAAAAAATATGATCACTCAGTTATCCAACCAATAATTGTTCAATTAATCAAATCCAAATTACAATAAATAAGGAAGTTGATGAAGGATGCAATAAAATTACTAATCACATCAAATAAATGTTATTCTATCCTATCTGGATAGACCACGCACAGATTCATTCAAAAGATAATATTTGGTCGCTTTTAACACAGAGTGTTTTCAGTTTTGGAAGAGTGCTTCAATTCACAACCAAAAGTGCACAATTCCGGTCAACACAGGCAACGCAATCAAAAGGAGGAATCAACTAATATGGCTGCCGCCAAGACTAAGTATAAAGTAAAACAACATAAGTGCAGTTCGGGAAGAAACACGGAGACTTAGTGAAGGTGTAATGAAAATAAAAACTATAATAAAATAAAAGTATTGACAATTCAAATGTAATCAAAAAACTAACAATGTATAACTAAAGGGATCAATAGGAACAAAGTGCAAGTATGTATATGGAGGAATTTTCACACACACAAAACATTCAAAACGGATATTACACCTATGTTGTTTGAAATACCACAGACTTTCATAGTGGATTGAACTGTATTCTTTATTTTAAAATGTATTTTTTTTTAAAATCTTTCCTTCATTGTTTAAGGGCAGATTGTATAGAAAAGTTTAATAGAAAGATTCATATGGTTTTTGAAAGTGTCATACAATTCTGGGACGGGAAGGTAACACTTCCTAACATCATATCTGTCCTGTTTGGAACGTTCTACCGATTGATGTGAACAAAGTGCACTCAGAAGACAGTTTCAACAGGTAACTCGACAATTATCTACGTATTTGCAATTTATCGTCGTTCGCCAGTAATAAAGACCAATCATACCTTATAACAGAAAAAACAGGGTTGTACGTTTATCGTCTGACATGATGTACGTCTCGTTGCTTGTAACAACTATTACTCTTTATTATTACCCTAATTATGTAAGAATTATTATAATACGATTGCAAAGCCAATCAAATCAAAGTCCAGGAATGAACAATGTCTGATGTGTTGAAGTATATGTAATCATGGGTGTTACTAATGATCAGCTAAGATGGTTTATTAAGAAGCTTTAATTGCATTTACATGCTTCAGCGAAATAAACTTGTTTAAGCATCAAGCTCTAGCAAATATGACCTGTGAATAACTACATCTTCCGGTATGCCACGGGTATTTAGCTCGTTCTTGGCTTTGCTTTTCTCCTGCCATGTCCTTGCAGATGTTCTGATCTGGTTGTGAGAAAAAGAGAGGATATATCAGCTCCAAAATCATTCAGTATTCTCACTGTCAAAATCTGATCATCTCTTAATCTGAGATAGGACACAGTAAATCTGTCTAGCTTTTGAAACCACTCTTTGTATGGTAAACCCTGGATGTCTGGAGCGTCACGTGAAACTGGTCTCTGTACCATTTCCAAGATATTTAAGCCACCTCTCAAACAGAGGCTTACTACCTGAACGCAGTTCTCAAGTTTGGATCTCACTAAGGTTGTGTTTACCGTAATGAACATAGTAGCATTTTACTTGGTAAATACCCAGAATAAAGTCCATTGGTTATAAACCGTTTAGTTGCGGAAGCGGTGCGCGGCGTTAAGATCATAACTTATTGTCACCTCAAGAACCTTTTGAAACCGGGATGTGGACAATTACTTTTGCCCTCTGGCATATCTATTTACCTTTAGATCCTCAATATGCATGTAGACACAAGTTGCCTCGTCAAAAGGCATCAGCTACTCTTTAGACAAGCTAATCTCAATATTTGAGTCTATCTGAAGTGAACATGCATCTGAGCCTCCCATTACTTCTCGCCAACTTTTTACGTAATTAGCGTATTATAACATTGGGGACTCAGCTATACTTGGGAGTTCATTCACATGCACCATAAAAAATAAAGGACCTAGGACAGAACCTTGAGGTACTCCACCAAGTACTGGTCTACAGGTAAAGCACTTGGAATTTGCTCTGACTTCCTCTCTACGACCTACCGGGAAATCCTTAAACCATTATAGTGGAGGCCCGGTAATGTCTAGATTTTCCAGCTTCAAAAGCAGTCTATTTATTGACACCTTTTCAAATGCTTTACTGAAGTCTATGTAGATGAATATCCACTGGTTTTCCAATATCTAGCGCCTTTCTCGATTGTTCTCTTGCTATAAAGAGATTTGTTGTATGAGATAATTCTTCCCTGAATCCACGGTTCTCAATATTTAACAAGTTGGTTTCTACGAATATCATGGTCTTCTTGACTATTCTTTCCAGTACTTTAACTAATACACTAGTAAGGCTGACAGGTTTGTGGTTTGGTGCGAGTTGTATTGATTTCGTTTTATATATTCGAGTGACGATTACGTTATTCCAATCCGTTGGGAACTCACCTTCGTCAAGTGACATATGGAATATCGTAGTCAGTGTGAATATAATATATTGTGAAATTTTTCTCAAGAATTGAGGGCATGGTTCACCCGGTCCTGTTGATCTTTCCCTATCTAAGGTGCTGAGAACCTTAAGTAAATCGTCTCGACCTAAGTCCACTCTGAGCAGCTGATTTTGTGACCATGAATTTGGGTCTAGTTCTTCGTCGAGAAGAAACTACTGAATGGAAACTGTCCCAAAATAGTTTTTCATAGCCTCTGCTGTTTCTTGATCATCCTCTATCATTTCAAATCCACTCCCTTCACTAAATAGATTCTGAATCCAATGCAGAGTTCTTGTTTTGTAATTTATGTAAGATTTCAGATTGAGCCAGCTGCTTCTCGTCTTTTTACTGACCTTCACGGATTGTGACTATACAGTTTTTTGCACACCTGTAGCGTTTTATCACACTTTCAGTGTCAAGGTTGATGGAGACTTTCCTAAATTTCTCCCTTTGTATTGGTAAACGTCGAACATCTTAACCCATCCAGAGATAGCCGTGCTTCTTTTTCTTTGGGACTGTCCAGGGTATACTTGATTGTATAACTTCCGGAGATATGTCCATACCTATTCTGATAATATCCCAAGTCACTTATTTGGAATTCAGCCAAGACTGCAGAGTTGATCGCCTACATACCTGTCTTCCATATGTTTAGGACTGGTGCAAATACTTGACAAGCTAGTTCAGCCATGAACTTGAATGAGATGACTTCATGATCACTTTTTCCCAAGGCTGAGAGGAAAGTTGCTTGGCTGATATCATCACCGTATGTGAAGGTGAGTTCCGAGAGAGACGAGGAGTTATGTAAATCATATCTCGAGGGATCTCTAATATGCTGGAATAAAACTAAGGTGGTTGTGGTATCTAACAATCTGTGTGGCTGAGTTCGTGCTCAAATCTAGCTTTTGGTTCGTTTTCAGAATATAACCCTAAGATGTGAAAAATGACTTATCTGTCATCGGAGTTCGTCTTAACGTAATTCTTGTAATCTCCTCCTCCGTACGATCCATTTTGGCGTGAAACACAGAGGTCTCACTCTGATTCCTTACTTTTCATTTCTGATGTGATGGTAAGCTGATCATTTACCTTGTTGTATCTCTTGATCACATCATCTACACCACTCAGGCTTTGCTCTCCCATAATCTTTTTTGCGTTGATATATGAATCCGGGACTGATACCGTAGATTCACGTACATTACTGCTGCTCATAATTTGTTTCTTCTCAGTGAGCTTCTTCTTCCCTGTAACGATATCTACATCTTCGTGGTTGTTATTCGCTTCCCTAATACAGTCCTTTTTGAGGTTTATACTCAACTCTGAAGCAAGATTATCTATTTCATCAAAAACTGAATTCTGCTGTTGGTTGGCTGAAGATGCCACCTACCAAAGAGATTTACACCTGTCTCACCAAGTCATAAGTTTTGCTTAGGAGGAACCCATCTATTTGACATTCTGAACTGCGGTGTATTACAACTAATTCAACATCTTTCCGTTTACATTTACGAGGGCAGTGCACCAGTTTGCATGTCCCTAGGCCGCGTGTTACTGTCGCAACAGCTCGTATAGTTAAAGTGCTTTACATGTACAGGATAAATCTACACCCATATGGTTCAGTCCGTCAGCCCTACAAAGTAAGAAACCAAACAACTGAATTTCACCACCATATAAACGATTACATTACTCTCTGTGGGTGTCACCAAATACTTAAACACTTACTGTATTACAGAGAGAAAACATCTGCTTTAAATCGTTCGGTTTGTCTGAATTATTGCTATTGTCAACAATATTATTGTCAATATTTATGTTACTATCATTCATTACAGACCCGGGGTTTGGTACAAGTACTGTCTGTGAACGCGGGAGAAGTATTGATGGTAAGCCTCCGTTTAATTCTGGTGGCGGTGATGATGACAATGATTATGATGACGAACTGACATCAACCAAGCATATATGCAAATATCTCTCTGTTTCAAAGATATTGAGTATTTGATACCGGTTGTTAGTACTATTTCAAAGCATACGCTACTGGTCTAACAATAGCATTTAACAAGTGATATCTAGTAATCTGGTTTGCATTTTAATTGCTTGTTGAACTTTGAAATTTCTTCTTAACACAAACCTCCTGACACGAAACTTATTGATATCGTAGATGTGTTTGCAACAACCTAATCAATATTGATTAAGTCTGCGGCGAACATTTTTTAAAAGCTAACCATGTCCAAAATGCACTATTTTTTAGGGACAGTAAAGGTTAGCGTAAATGCATTCATAGGAATATCCACTTGTTCGTATAATTAAGTAATGTCTTCTTTACCTCAATGAACTTCACGACTTTCAACTTCTATGATATATCAAGACCACTATTTTCGGTCCAGTTGAGTTACTTTCCGCCAAAGCATTTAAAGTAACATCATTATAATAACATCTTACCCGTACTAGTTGCGCTTTCTCACTTTTTGAACATAACAATTCACTTTGAAACATGTTTAATCAAAAGAATTTTATGTCCGTTTTTATCTCCGCTTTTCGGGAAATTTTAATGCGAAAATGTTAGAATGTTAATGGCATGGACCGAGAAAAGCAGTTACTAACGACCCAGTAGTTGATATCCAATGGGATGTGTTATACAACACTATAAGGACAGTACCTTTCGACTTTTGTTTATTAGATGTATATTTGCCAACGTATCTTTCTCAGAGGCTACTATGTTCAGCCAATCAAATACTAGCGGTCAATCATCATACCAAGTAACTGAAAATGTTCCTGCTGGTCATCATACCTGAAACTAAGTATCAGCGCCATATGTTCGGTATGATTTTTAATTATATCTATGCTTTTTATTCTAAGCACGGTAATCTGGCGTAAAAACGTTCTAATAATGTGACCAGTTGAGCTTATATGGCTATTCAATGACTAATGTTCGTTATATGTTTTTCGAAAGGCGTGTTACACAGATAACACAAAAACTGTCAAATAAGGTAATAAGATAGAATAACGCAACTAATGTTAGAAGGAATTTCCAAATGTATTTTGTCACTTTAGGTACATGGAGCACAAGCGTGTCCTACTGCAGCTGCCAAGTTTTACGTACGCACATTTAGAATCGTGATCACTGTATCCAAATATCATTTCTAATTAACAGAAATAGGATAATAAATGGGTTTTATGAGACTGTAGTAGTGATCAATTTAGCCCCGATAAACTTTAGAGAAAATAAAACATGATTCGTCTACATTTCTGAATAGTTTCTATCACGGATGAGATATTCACTTATCTAGTTATTCATGTTCAAACTATTCTTCTGCACCATACCATCGTAACATCAATGCTAATAAGCAATTTGGTATATTTCCTCCTTAGGCTTTGATGTTCGCCTATCATATGTTTTTCTCATTAGAACCATTTGATAGTAGGTGTCAAACTGCGTAAAGCTCTAATCATAGGATGCTAGGTATAATGATAAGCTAAAAAAGTGCTTCAAGAGTTTGTTGGCTGCTTTAATTGGTGTTTTGTTCAGTAATTGTATACAGATTTGGAGAAAATTAAGGTGAAATAGGCATCGTTGAGTTCTTATCCATAGACGTATTTGTATATCCGACTGGTACTCTGCGAATCCAAAGTAGCAAGAGCCTATTCTATTCGAAAAATTAATGTTATTTTTTGTTTAGCTGGGAAACTAAAAAAGCTTTTTGTGTTATTACGATAAAACACCAAATATAGTACAGTGACACTTTTTGAACTGATTAGTTTTTCACTTGAAATTAAAAATGTTAGGCGTGGGAACAAAATGTGGATAAAATTACATCATTCAATAAAATCCCTTCCCTTACTGGTGAATTAATTTAGTTTCTGCTTAGAAGGGTGGCACTTTAACCAATACATTTTTGTCTTAAACTCAACACTAATTCAATGTGTTAGTCAAGTAAATGCTTTTTGTCCCACCTTCACACCCATTTTATTATGTTCATTCCCCTATTTTTGTAGCAGTTTGGCTTTTGATGAGCACCTAGTCGTCTCAGTTGGTTTGGCCTATTATTTATTCATGGAACAGATATTTTATTTAAAGTCCTACTCCTATTTATTTCAGATGCTTATAAATTTGTTCAAATGAGGATTTTATAAGGCTAAGAACCAAACGTCATTGTTTCCTTCTCCAAGATCCCTTTACGATCGACAAGTTTCTTCACTTTGCTTAAAGACCATTTCCCTGTTGGTTTTTTTTTCAACAAACTAAATCGGGTGTTTGCTCACACCCTATGTTCTTAATTGAATGTGTCGAGATAAGCCTCTCTGAATTATGTTATTTGCTCAGTAATGTTTTTTTGTTCATTTTTATCCAGGTGCTCCGGAAAATTGTGGAATTCTTTACTTGGTTTAAAATAACTAAAAAATTAACTTGGTCGAAACACTGAGTTTATCGTCATATTCTACTCTATGGAGGAAGAAGGAGAACTAAACAAAGGACCATTAGACAACTCTTTGGCGTCATCCTGTCAAAATGATATTACAGAATCCCTTATGACTCAGGTAGTTACCCTTTGTATCCTCGATGTCAATTTCTCAAAATATTGATAGATATACGGTTATAGTATTCTTGTTACTAAAGAAGCAAGACAACTTACAGTCTGGTTCGGAGCTCTTATCTATTTCAGTAAAATACGTAGTAATATACATTATCACCTATTCTCTACGCTGTTCAGTGGTCGCTGTTTTTTAATATATCTTTTTGTTTGTTCTCGACATCATAAACAACATATTTTTATGATTCGAAGTAGTAAAAAGTGAAGAAATATGGAGACTTCCTGAAGATTGCGTTGAACTGTTTTAGGAATTACTCTCGAAAACTAGTTTATAATTTCTCGATCTAGGTTATACTTATGTAGTTTGGTTGCACCTTGTTTTATATGATTACTATCATATATATACTCGATGTGTAGTTAAGTAGGTTTCCTGTCATCGTGGCTTGAAATGTATAAGGGTTTCGAAAACGTTTTTGTAAAACAGCCATTTAAATAAAGTTTTCACATCTCTCTGTTTATTCTCTGTACCGTCAGTAAAATATGAAGGCAGTTTCATAAAGTTTTTCCCAGTGAAAAAGCCTTGAAAAATTATATGACCTTAATCAAACCATCCTCATTTGTCTAGAATTTATCAGTAATCCAAATAATTGGATCTTTTAAAATGAATTTTTGTTTTCACGCCGTATGAATTAAAAATCCATTGCATTCTTATCTGCCAAGTTATTGGTCGTTATAAGAATTTATTGTTTCGCTTTTGTTTTACTAAGAAAACTATCAATTCTAAAATTCCAGTATGTTATCCAATATATGATTATGTCTGTCGGATTATTTTGTATGATTTAGTGCTTTGTGTGCGATAACTTTATTCACTCACGTGAATGATACTAATTTCCTCCCAACTCTAAATCCTACAATTCATTAAAATTCCAAATAAGTATTCGTAATTGGGTGCTTTTACTTACATTGTTATGATGAGGAACTGAACATATGATTCAGGCTGAGTTAACAATAAATTATCCCAATGATGAGGTCCAAAATATGACCAGTGCTTAATTCATCGTTTTCCAAACATTTGGACTATACTATATGATACCAGATGTTCTTGAATTCAAGACAAACAAATAAACCTATGCTCATCCGTAAAGTAAACTATGGTGAAAGAAACGGTAATTAGAAACTAGATTTTAAATGATACATCTTCGATACAATGTCTTAGTTGATTTCATCTATTATTATTAATTTTCAGCCGATCCCTATCAATATTCGGATTGCTCAAGATATACAGGAGTTTCTATGCAAAGGTAGCGTCTTGGTAACTTATTAAATCATATAATAACCTACCGATATAATCTATTAGTTTTTTTAATATTCCGGGTAGCATTCAGAAAACCATTCAGACCATATAATGTATAAGTTTCTTAAACGAGTAACCAACATCGTTGTCAAACCATACCACCCTGTAAGATCACCAAAATAACGCTTTTTTACTTCAGTTCTAATAAGACTTAGTGACTATCCGTTTATTCAATACTCTTTAAAACAGTTTCAGCAGGCGTATACCAACAATACCTAACAAACAACGTAAATTGTTTTAGTATTTTTAACAGTTTAGATTGGTTCTTTGGTGACGCTGGTTGTCTAAAAATTACTGAATTTATGGTATTAACATTTCGGAATTTCACTTCTTTGGTATATTACTGAGTAAGTAAACAAATAGTGAGAAATATTTGGTGTAAAAATCGTATTTCTCGATAGTGTGTTTATTCCTACAAAACCCTTCATCTAAACAGCACCTAATTGGCTACTAATATAGGAATCAATAAATAGATTTGAAAATGATATTATTGTTTTATAACCTGATGTTTGATTCATCCAATAAAATATTTAAAAGATATGTAGAGTTTTTATCGGATCGCGCAACTGCTGACTTTACGTTGTGGTTGGGTTTGTATCTCGTGATGAATCGATCTATATTAGCTGGAATAATTGTTACTTTGTGTCCTACCACATGAAATAGGTTGCTTGAAGAACGGTAAACCAAGTAGCAAACTGGAGGTCCGAGGGTGAAGTATTGCTGCTGAATACTCAGTTTTAATGGAAATACGGAGTTTTCCTCAAGAAACCAGCATCTACGAAGATGCTGTCTTCCTACGAAAATTTAAACATAACGCTAATTTAAAAAGTTACTGACTGTTGACCTGAGTTGTATAGATTGGTGTATGCTTCTGTATGCGCGTTATAAAATATCGCCTTTGACTACCTATTATTTCTTTTGTTTATACCAATTTCTTACTTGTTACAACCTCATTACATTTTCAGCTATTCTCTCGTCTTGTATTCAAGGATTTATGTAGATACATGTATATCTGGCAGGTAATGATTATATTGGTTGACCATATTTACTGCTAAAAGATAGCATGAGTTAAAAATGAGGTATATTTCACGAATTCTCCATGAACTTCTTTTAGATGTTTTGTATATCTTCTTATCTTTCGATTTCACTCACTTGAGTTCTAAACCTCATTTAACTACATACAGTAGATGTATCTGTTTTTATGGAGATTTCGTATAATTTGGAATTGACATTCATTGCACCAGCAAGAAAACCACGAGAGGTCAGGAAGCACGAAATAGGTGTTTCTTCATGATATGGAAACTCTCAACTGTGTAAATGATACCCTTATCATACGTAGGGATTCAGTTCTTCAAGAAAGTATCTGCCCTCACGCTAAGGATATTCTCTCAGAAATGTATTGCCTTAATCGAATGAAAAGTATAGATAATTAGTATTCTGAAGGAGCGAATTTAATTGAGCATAATACTGATAATGAATATCGTAGGTATCATTAATAATGAATGATAAAATTACAGAATCGGCAATGTGGATTCATGGTAACCTAAAAATATGTTTCATAATTAATAAACTTACACGGTCCTATAATGTTATATATTGTTATGCTGTTATTTATTTTTAAAACAATACTTTATCAGTTATGTACAAATACATTAAAAACTTAATCATTCACTTTGTGCATAGGTTCTAAGTCTTTTAAGTGTTCTCTGTGTACTCGAACATTCAGGCGTCGTGACAAAATCAAAAGACATTTGATTGAATGTCATTACGGTTAGTTTACCATTATCATTATCTTCCTATTTTTGTGTTAGTAATTTTCTTTTCTATATCCTGAGTTTTATTGTCTAATGCAATTGCTAAAGATCGTTTAATTTGATTCTATAATCATACAGTTTGCAGTTTTTTAACAAAAAGGCTTTGGCATGATCTAAGAATCCCGGTTTTCACAATTTTTCAAAGTAGCTTCTGGATTACATCAACTTCTATGATATTATAATGCAACTTTCTAGGAATAAGCTGATCATCAAAGTTTCCTGAAGTATACAACATTTTCTGAAGTAATCAGGATAGTTTGTTAAATACTACCAGTAAACAAGCAGAAAAAGAGTTATTTTATTTTATGATCATTATTTAGAGTTAGTTTTCAAGTGTAAATGGGTAATATTTTTCTTAGTATTTAAGAATATAAGAAAGAAGGTACTATGTATTTTATGCTTAATTACATTCTATTTAGAAAATTCTCATCAATGACTGCTATGTATAATTAAATTTCAATGTATTTAATTTTCTGATAATGATTTTATTTCTGAAGTCATAAGTTTATTATTCTGAACTGATTAAAATTATATGTTTCATTGTTTTCATTAACTTTCACACTTATTATCATACTGGTTTGAAAATTGAGATGACTAGTCTGGACTGGATAGAAAAGATTCGTTTTCTAATTTTATATAATTAGTGTGTTATTATAATATTGAAATACATTATGTTAAATTCATTCAATCTCCTTTCCTCTCATGTCATTTACTATGAAGTATCTTCTATCGTTTTTGTTGTAGGGATAAAAGACTATGAATGTTCGTTGTGTTTTAAAAAATTTGCTCGTAATGAACATTACAACCGACATATGAATGATGTTCATACTCGTAAGTTGTGTATAACTATGAAGACTTATAATGTTATATGTTTTATACTATTTCTATATGTGTATACCTTAACGAAAAATATGATTTAACACCTTAAAATTGATGGTGTTCAAATATTATGTTATTCCTGAAAATGAATAGACCAATATATTTCTCTCATAATTTATCCGTATGTTAATCTATACTCAAGAGTACTTTATTCTCGGAATGAATAGTTTAGAACCAAATGGCTAGAAGACATATAAATAGTATAGATTGTAATTCTAATTCTCATCCAATCATCGCTAGTCGGTACTTGGAGAACAATCTAGAAATCTCATGCAAAAACTATAAATATACTAACGTTTTTCCTATTGTGCTTCTTACTTCCATCTAACCTTGTTACTTGGAATATAATCTGATTTGGGGACTTGTCGAGTGAATTGGTGTCGGAGAATACTAAGCAATAAAAATAGCTGGGTTGTAATAAGAGAGAATTATAACAAAAGGGAACAAGAGAAAATAGATACTGAGTAAAGAAATTGTATTCTTGAAAAAATTTAAATGATGGTTATAAAATGCTGGTTTAAATGTGTGATTGATTTATCTAGAAACCAAGTATAGCACTGTAAGAATGTTGACTGAAAAAAGGAATCACAACCAATAATTAAGATTTATTTAGTTGAGAAGCTTTTACAACGTGTAAACCACAAGTTGCGCCACACAATATAGTACTACATCATTGTAAAGATACACAGAAAAAATGTACATAACCATTAATAATGCTCAGAAAAGAAAGACAGATCCAGGGAGTTTCTGTTATTTATTTTTAATTTTAAAAGGGGAACTTCATCTAGAGAATGAAGAGGTTATAACATATTCCCATATATTACGATATTTTTGTCCCACAAATAAATTTAAAGAACCAACTGCCTCTTTTCTGACTAGTTTCAGTGGCTAGGAAGAATGATTAGTATATCGATTACTAAATAGTATGTATTAAATGAGTTACACTAACATGATTTTATGTTTCGAAATTTTGCTTAGCGTGAAATGATATTGTCTTTTATCAACAGTACAAGTTTATATGGTGTAAACTGCAACTAAATGTCATAGCTGTTGAAAATTCTTTAGAGTTAACTTTGTTTTACTGAAAACGAATTGATATATCTTCCAATATTCTTCTATGATATCTAAAATGTTAGACCCAGTATTTTGAAGTACAATTAAGCTTGATCACTACACCAATTATTTGGATCATGGTTTTCTAATTTCTATGACCAGTTAATAGTGGCCCATTTTATGGGATTTAGATTCATAGGAACTACATTGTCGTTCTGATATTATCACTGAAGAAATGTTTTCATTAGCCCTAATACTGTTAGCTGTTATAAATAACTGAATACTTATACACTATGTAATTAAATCCCATTCATTATTTATTTATTTACTTTTAATGGTATTACTTAAATCTATTGTATATTTATCGACCTAAACTCTGTGAACTAGTTTTGTTTTGATACTTTGGGATAATTACGTATATTTATGGTATATTTTTCTTTTTCACAATATGACTTTTACTTCCTGTCTTCTCTCTCCCTTTTTTTATAATAATTTAGTCACCAAAGGTTGTCATTGCCGTTTGTGTAATCGAAGATTTAAACGAAATTCAGAGTTTTGTCATCATATAAAAACTGCTCATCATGGTAACCTTTGTAAATTCATTATAAAATAATTTCATTTTCTTAAAAAAATCACTTTATCATTAATGCTTTCATCGTTGATATTATCGACATCTTTTATTTGTGTATTCGAAAGAATATATGTGATATTGTTTGAATAGGACAATATCACTTCAAAATAGATGGTCCACTACTTTGATCATTGTACATACTGACTTATAAAATAAATAATTTCATGAGTATTGTCAAGTTCTATTTAATTATTTACTTTTCACTAAAATAAGCAAGTAGGCATTAAAATAAAACAGAAAATTAAAATGAAAAGCCTATACTTCCTAATCTATACAATATAATAAATTTCAACATAATTCTTTATTAATAGTGTTGGGGGGATCCAGAAAACTCCTCGAAAAAAGCAAAGAAAGGCTCTGAAGACACTGAGAGGCATCTTATCCAATCAGCGTTCACTAGACGTTTCGCCAGAAACATCTAGAAAGCGATAACTCATGTCTAGTTTCTGACTAGATGAGTACTCATACTGCTACTATGTTTAGTAGCACTCCAAGGACATCTAAAATACTATAAAAACACTAGATATTCTGGAGTAAAGCGTCTCCTTCTATATTTCACGCATTTTCCCCCATGTTCAGGTTGCTGTGTAGATTTAGCCTGGAGGTTACTAGAAGAGCTTAGGAACCGAATCTAGCCTTTAATTAGAAGACTTATCAATATTAATCTAAGTAGCCTCATGATGTTGTTGAGACTTTAAAATTCCTTTACATTTTTGAAAATATGATAAATTTATAAATGGTTTATCTGTATACACAAATAGGCAATTTATGGAAGATATTGTCTTTTCACTCCGGATGAAAAAGCAAACCCATTTTAAATACTACAAAATCAATTTGAAATTCTACGGAATTGTTTTTTAGATAATTTTCATCTTAAATTGATATCATCTGAAGAATTATTGAAAATCAGTATGCATTGAAGTTATATCACAAACTATTAGTTCATACTGTCTTTTCTTTGATTTTCTAACGATTATGTACAGTTGTAATCAACTTTAATACTTGTTAATTAAGGTCGTCATTCAAATATCTATGTTAGGTGATGAGAGATAGTCAACGGGAAATCCCGTATTTAGGAATCGTACTACTTGACAGTTATAGCAAGGTGTACCTGTAATCTTGAGGGAACTGATACTGCATGATTGATTCCAACCATTTAACATCGAAATATAGTGCACTCGATTTTGCGTCACTCAAACTAGTGACCATATTGTAGTTCAACCGGCAGGATTTGTTCAGCATTAAAGGACTAGATAAAAATGACATTGGACCCTATTCAGTAATTAATTAGTGTTAAACATTTGTTTTTATGTATGTCTATTAATCTGTTTAAAGAATTTTTCGAGTGACTTCCACTGCGAATTAGAAGTATAAAGGATATTTACAAAATAATATTTGTACTTCACACTTAAATTCTCTGCAAGTAGCTAACAAAATGTCTTTATGAGATTTCAATATCATAGATATTACACTTGTACTATTGTTTCGAAGTTTTGACTCCGTTTATACATTCGATTTCCCTTTAGTTTTTACTGGGTTCTAATCCATTCTAGTTAATTTTATCTGAAAAACCCAGTAGTTTCATCAGCGTTCATACAAAATTTAGTTTACCGTGTAAGACATATATCAATCCTTAATTAGTTACTAATTTGTATTTTGTATGTCACTCAAAATATTTGGCTGTATTTCTATCTATTTAATTTGCCGTGTTCAATAAGTTTCACTTCCTATCATTCTTATTTTCTCTTTACTTTTCCCAAGTAATTTTTCAACCTTCAATAACAAGCACAAAGATTTATTTTAACGTAGTCTATAGTGCAGTGGAGGCTAAGTAGTTGAACTACTCAACTTTCAACATGTAAACCACAAGTTCGAATCTTGTTTCACGTACTTGAGTTTGAAGAATCAAGTAGTATCACTATCCCTATCCACCTAGAGTTTGTCTCAAATCTCTGTATATGAGTCTGCACTTGGTAAATGAGTGGAATAACTAAACTTTAGTTTTTAGTTTGAAAGTAAAAAAATTGATTTAATCTGAATTTCTCATTTATTTTATCTTTTAACATTTAACATATATTACAGAACAATCTGGATTGTTTGCATCCGGTTCAGTTTTATTATTTAATCAATCCGAAGATACAATCAATAATAATAATGATCATTCAACTAGTAATCATCTTTCACATAATTATGAACAGCAACAATCATTACAAATTGATCAAGTGGACTCGAACTCAATCGATGTTGTAAGTTTCAATGATTTTATAATTTGTAGTTAATGGACAGATTTTTATGAATTCCTAAAAATACAATAACACCAATAATCTATCCTTTGGAATGTTTGATATTATTCTGTGAACAATGCATTTTTTCCATTTAACTACAATCAAGAAATTTGGCACATCTAGTTCTAATGACCAAGATGTGTTGAGAAATACATTAGTATATAGGTATAAGAAAAACATTTAGATTAAGTATCGTAGTAATTTTCAGAAGACAAAAAGCTAATTATCTTGGGATACACTACATTGTTGGCTTATATTTTCTAGTAAATACTATTTATCCAATTCTTGACCTTTTTCAAGCCATTAAATCTCACTGTTGTTTCGGGGTCTATGAGTTTATCAAATTGTATTTAAAAAAATCATTTTTCTACTCTCTAATCGTTTGCTTCAGCGTTCTGTGATGAAAACCAGTGCTTGTTATGACGTTACTTTTATTCATCACGTAGACTTGTAAATACTGCCAAGTTTCAACTGATATCATCTCAACTACTTATTTTTAATTACTATTTGTTGCCGAATCAGTCATATATTATACACATTGATTGTCATTTTAAGCAGGATCCAGGTCGTTTAAATGCGTTATTTATGTCTGAAACATAATTTGTCACTCCTTGTATTCGTCATCCGAGCATGTAACCAATTTTGTAATGAATAATCATAATTTCATATTTCGGTGATGTATCTACTATTTTGTATCATACACAATTCTAATCAACAAGAAAAATCTGAATTGATGTTTTTACTTTTCATATGTGTGAGGATAAACTTCATATTTTAGTGGTCGTGTCCTACCGTTTGCATATTGAGTAAGGCTGAACATATGGAGTCCTTTAGTGTATTCAGTTTTCCTCTAATATATGTTAGACGATAGGATAATGCTATTATTGTTTTCCTGTAAAGTTCATTCTAAAAACTGTGTTTTTGTATAAACTGTTTTAGGCTGGACCAGGTTTGTATGTTGAGGTAGAGTTTAATGCAGATAAAACCGAAGCTGGAAAAAGTATGTTTTTGTCATTTTTCAAAATTTTAGCAACGTATTTAAGACGTTTATGTATATGAGAATCAAAATTAATTCTTAGTAACATAAAATCATTTTTGTGAACTTAATGTCAACATGTACGTAGCAATGAAATTAGATGCAATTTAGTTATTTGTTACATCCATATATCAAATTTATGTTCCTGATTTCATATTTAATCCCCATTGAATTCTGAACAAACCATAAACCAGTATTTTTGGAAGCTGTATGTTACGCGTAAAGTACTGTCAACGAACGATATTCGTGTATTCATACCACTACTTATGTACCTCTTTTACCCAAGATATTGATAAGTGTAAAACTGTTGGTGAAAGTCCCTAAACTCTTCATTAAAGACATTTAAATTGTATTACACGACTCAGTTCATTCTGGTATAGCAGAAATTGAGCTATGCTTCTTGTATCTGAGGTTTTGACGTACTACTTAGCTACCCGGATTCATGTTGATAGGATGGGTTTTAACATATAGATCTTGATAATATTAAGTTTAACAGGTTGGCACATTTAACATCCGAAGTTTCAAAAGAAGTCGGCAGGAAAACATAACAAAGAGTTGGAATTAGTGCTACTTATTGTAGTAGTGGGAAATTAAGACAAGAAACTCAGCAGCAGATACCATCAAAATCAAGTAATGAGCAATTGGATAATCTATTGTTCAATACTACGAAGAAACGGATGCTTCTTCACTACCCCAATCGATTTTAATGCTATATTATTTAAAATATGTAAGTAATTGTTAAACATGGTTCTCAGACTCAAACCAAGACACTTGGTATTTCTGATCACTGTTCAGATTAACTTTAAAGGTTTTCTAGGACAAACCCATTCATTTTGTGGCATCTGTTATCTTGTTCAATTTCCAACTCACAAATACTTTAAATGTATAATTTTTATCATAATTTATCTACCCATTGTTGAGTTTCGTTGAAATGATCAAACCAAATAATACTAATAAAATAAACATAATTTTAAGCTATTTAAAATACAATTGAAGTTTTAACTTAAACAAATACTACAGATAATTAGCTGTGAAGTTAAAAGAAATGCTTCATGTATGGAGCGTCTTAATGAGCAAACTATCATGTTATAGAGCTCACTCATGCCCGGTTTTCTCTTGTATCTCTATAACGTGGTAAATAATTTTCATTTCTCTTATATTTTGTTTGTAAATAGATCCTAAACCTTTTGAATGTACATTGTGCGGAAAATCATTTAGCCGACAGGATAAGTTAAGACGACATTATCAGGAAGCTCATGATGGTATGCCTTTATTGTTATTATCCAACTAATAATTTTCTGATATTAATTTTTTTGTCGAATTCACTAGTCGCGTAAAGTGTTTTTAATAATATATATAATAATAATAGTATATATGACTTCATATATTTGGTATTGTACTAACATTTTATTGTGAAACTATGTAAATAAATTAGATCCTAGGTTTATGTGAAGAACATAAAGTAATTGGAAGTAGATCTATTCCTAGTCAACGTAAATTAGTTTTAAATTTTCCACTGGAACCACGATATTCAGCGGATCCAATTTTGAACAATTTTTTGTCCACTAAAGTGGTTATATTATTACATTTTCGCAACCACAATATGCCAACATCTAATGTTGGCTGGAATAAGAGAAGGTTACCTGGAAACTAGGTGTGATCAAACCAGTACATGAAATCAGGTCAAATAATAATTGACTATCGGAGTGAGTTGTTTTAGCGGATCCAAAATGACTTGTTGAGGTCAGTGTAATTATAATGACCAGTAGTTCGAGATGTTGGTTGACATAAATCAATATCTATCACAGTGGTGGAGATGCATTCACTATGTATCTTCTCTTAAGTCTTGAGCTTCAATATTATTACATAGTTTCTACCCCCCCCCCTAATCCATTCCTTCTGTTATCAGCTCTATTATTACTTTGACTCTTTTGCTATTCCTCTTGTTAATTTCAACTCGACTTGCTGACGTTATAGAACCGCTAAAATTACAACCAGTATTATTGATAGACAACTTTGAAACCCCTTTTAACTAACAGGTAATTCCATGTTAAACATAGTATTTGGGATAGGAGAGAAATTTAACTAGAAATCCATGTTTCAGATTGTTGATTGCTGAATTAAAAATTACTTTGGCGTAATGTATGATTCATGCAATTTTCTAGATTTTTATCCTTTCTTAGGATGGTTAATCCCCTTGCTAAAACATTCTAACTATTTTTACATCATATTTTATACGCAGTAGGACTGTATGAATGAGATTCTATTTCATCTTAATATGAATATTCTTTGCAGTATCAGATAATTTCATTTTATATGTACTTTTGTAAATAAACGTAGTGTGATCAAAAATAATCTCTTTATTTAATTAATTTATTTATTTATTAACATACTAGTCTTCTTTCTCACTTTATCTGTACATTAGTTTTTCTTTGTTAATATCTCTTCTTTCACTTATTAGGTATTAGAGAAGAGCATCAATGTCCTGCATGTGAAAAAAGGTTTTATCGCAAATATCATTTAAATCGTCATATTGCTGAGGTTCATCGAGGTAAGGAGTTTTATTTGTTTTGTGGTACAATATTAGTAGATAGTTTAGTAATTTAAAAACCCATATGGGATATTTAAAAAACAAAGAATATCAGAGAGAATTTAAACATAATCATTCGTAAATTTTCTGTCATGAGTAAAATTATGACAAACTCAGCATAGTAAACTTTCTTGCTTATGTTATAAGATTTCTATAGGTTATTGAAGTCATCAGGGATATAAGGTGTAAATCATTAGGAAAATTGTTAAAGCTTTCTCTTTAGTCGAATATTATTCTGTAGCAAGTTTTCATCGGTTTAAATTACTCCGCAGAATCTTTTATTAAAAATAAATAAAACATTTTTACTTAGAGTTAAGTGATGGTTAGAAGTGGAAGTCAGGACACGCGTCTTGTTCTATTGGTAACTCGCCAGCTGTACTTAAGAAATGCTTTTGACTTTATGGCAAAATCTAGGGAATCCGCACATATGCTAAAAAAACATTGATCAATCAACATTAATGGAAAGATTTAAACAACCAGTACAAATGAATTAAATAAAACGTCCGTTTGTATTACGGGACATTGAATTAAGTTAATACACAACCTCTAATGAACGTCTTAGTTTATTGTATTGTGTCAGTCAGTAGGAGTATCCAAATTATAATTTTATGCGATGAAGAGGCGAAAATTCTTCATGTGGAGTAATAGTATGTTTGTTTACAACAGTCATTTTTCTGGTATATGGAAATATCCTGTTGGGTTCTTACATTATTTATCTTCTGTTATTGAGTGATATCATACTGATGGGTCTCAGTCTCTGTGTGTCTTAAAATTAGATTTCTTGGTCAATCCCAAAATGTAACGAACCCTCATCCAATTTCGAGTGAATAATTTCACAGTAGTTGGTAGGTAAGTGCGTAAAAGTCATTAAGAGTAAAATCATATTTTGCAAAGCTCTCAGAGATCGATATCAGAGGACCTAAACGTTTTGCTCGGCTTTCTGGTTTAAGCTTCAGAATTATAATCAAAATTTCAAATTATCGAACATAAGTGCGACAACAACAATGTCAGCTTTTCTTTATAAAGTTCAAAACTGTCTAGAAGGACTTCGATTTGATAGAACTCAATTTTGTGTCCTTTTTCCATCCAATTCAACCTTATCTCCGGTCTATTTTCAAGTTTCTTGAGGACGTAGATAATGCGTAAGTCGAATTACTTTCACCATTCCTACAAGACAATGATGTTACATCACTCATGGTTTATCTACTACAGGTAGCTTAATCTAGGGTACCCGCTAAACTTGTGCAATTCCTACTAACTTTAGTGTCGAGCCTTTTCATAGTCTCGATTTTGTCTTTTATTTAGGTGTTAATGTTCTTTAGAAAATAAAAGAATATGATTTAACACAGTAGATATTTTAAATTCAATAACGATGCACCTTTTGTGATATAATATTGATGAATTAGTGTTTGGGTCATCTGTTTTAGCTGGGAAGCCATTTTTATGCCCATACTGTCGTCGTGAATTTGCAAGGGAATGGTCCTATCACCAACATCTACAAAAATATCATGATGGTAAGTATTGACTTATCTGCTTAGTAATTTCTCTGTTTTATCTATTGCATATTGTTTGAATTCGTCTCACTGATTTTACCTTTCAGATTGTATGAATTCTGCACCAGTAACTTGTATAGAAAATCTCGAGGGATAATACTAAATTTATTCCTTCCATTCAGTATTCTGTGTACATATTTCTGTTTTAACCTTATATATGTGTTTCTAATGGTCTAAAGACTCCTGTAAAGTAAAATCGTAATTATTATTATGTCATTTTAAACAAGTTGTTCGACTTCTATTATTCTCGGTGTACTGAGTAACTGACTTGGTTTCTTATCCTTATTAGCCGAGCTACGTGTTGCCTAAGATCATATAACTTTACTGAATGAAATTTGCGGGCAATATACTTATCCCTAAAGCAAATGTTTACAGCTACTTTACGGAAACTTTTGTTTTCAAAATACTGAAACAGATCCAACTTTGACATTTCTCCTGTCAAAATATCTTTCCAATAACTTTATATAAATTGATCGGACTTTATGTACCAGTTTGGAATTAATTGTGATTTTAACGTCGAGCGAGACACCTCAGTTATAATGTTGTGATGATTTTCTGGGAAGTATCAAGACATTTGACTCTATAAATAATATAGTATGTGTACGAAAGACAATAGTAAGCTCCGGAAAACGAGCACACCATACCAGTTGACCAGGATGTGAATAGTTTCTTTCAAATAATTTAATCTGGCATATCACGCTCTATGATTCAAGCTCCGAGTTTAAATGTATTACGAAAATTCAACAGATAATTGTTGTAGTAGAGGAATCGACAAATGACCTTTAGCTTGAGATATCCAATCACTCAATAGCTAGATATCTCTATCTCTGTAATAAGTGTACATATATCTTTGTAAATTTCCAAGCATAGGCTCCTGTTAAATTCATTGTTTTTCCTCAACAACACGTAAGGTCCTCAGCTAGTTTTTTCCTTTAGTCATTGTCTTCGGAGTTCATGTGTTTAACAGTATTGTATTCAGTTCGAAGTACATCATTGACTACTGAAATTTAGACTTCGTGAGTACTGGAATAATGTTCTTTCTCTGGAGTCTGAATAAAAATAAGGTAATCTAAGTTTCACAAGATGTTTCTAAAAATAATTCAGGTCCATCGGTATTAAACCAATAGTGTAATAAGGGTATATAATAACAGGAAGAATTGCAATAATTAGTCACTTGTAAGTCTATTCTAAATTCATGAACAGGTCGCATTTCATATTATCGAGGATTCGCGGTACGAAAGCCTATTACTTTCACTTGACTTTAAAACTGACCACGCAAGCATTAGTAACCAACTTTTCCTCACGAAAAGCTTAATAGCCATTCAACTTTGATTGTGTTAAAAGGCTATTCTCGTGGAAGTTAGACAAAAAGCCATCCACAAATGGCTGTATCACGTATTATCTGACGGCAAGAGAGATATAAACACCAGCAAGATAATATGAATTAGTTATATGTGATCTACATCAACCTAAGAAAATTCCCGCACAATCATCACTCTTAGAGCTGGGAAGCTCGGAAATCTACAGGCATCTACCCAGATTTACTTAGCACTTCCTAGTTTGTTACTGACTAAGAGAAAAAATTAATAATGAAGTCGAAATTTAGAAACCAGCAGAAAGTTTAGGGGATTAGATCTACTGTTGCTCGATTCCCAAACAACGAACTTCCACGTATCACTCTGACTGTAGCATTATCGATTATATTGGAATGTGAAGAAAAATAGCAGGATGGTAATGCAAGTGGAATACAGGCTAGACCCAATGCTCTAGTATGGTGTTCTTAATTATGTTTAGTGACTACTAAAGTCGTTTAGTGTGTCTTCAAGGACATCTTACTAGAAGATGGCACTATATACATCAAGAATATGACTTTGCTTGAGATTAAAATCACTCCATATCTTTCTTTCTACTAACTAATTCTTTCTTCCTATACTGTATCCTTATATGCAATTTTTTCCTATATATTACCATTTTTGACCTAAACACTCCTATGAATCCTGTGTTCATCTTGCTGTTCTAATGCGGTATGGCAACCTGAACCGATGCATATATGTGCCTGGTCCTACGTTGTAGCTGACTGACTGTTATCCTGATTGTTGGTTAATAAAGTTAGATCTGTAAGTATTGCAAATAATGTAAACAGTAGTTTGTTCTCGAATAACAATGCAGATGTTTATCAATCGATCTCTGTTAACTACTGCCCAGTTTATTGCATTGAAGTTTACTACTAACCAGTTAAGTAAATAGTATGGAATCCAGTTATCTAGATATAATTATTTATCAGTGGTTGATTATTTGGCAGACAATAAGGTTTGAAGTCTTATCTTCCTTAAATTTAACCATATCTTTCCTTTTCAATTATAAAGTAACAAGTAAACGATTGTGTCCGCAGTTTTAACAAACAATCATAAAAATGTTCAATCCAGTACAACATCGGTGAAGGAGAAGTAGAAAATATGTCATTAATAACTAATGGAATCGGGCAATTCTATTGGAGCAGTAGATACAAAACTACCTCAGTTTCCGTTTGAGTTGATTTTACATACTTAATGATTATTCTGCGAGTGAATGAGAAATTCAACGACATATAAGCATGTCCTAGTGGTTACAGATCGTCCAAACAAGGAGTCTTGTACCATATTTTTCAATCCTTATAAGGACAGGAAAAGATTTATGAGGGTTTTCGTATCGTTCCCTTTTAGGATTATTTACTTAAGGTTAGAAAAAGAGGTTCACTTTTGAGGTTTCTACCCAAATTCAGCTATCATATAAATTCCTGTGTAGGCACATGATGCATGAATATCACTCAAAAAACGCTGCACCGTTTGTTTAGTTTAACTATGAGATGTAGTATCACAATTTTAATGCTTATTTATTGACTAAGTATTTACTTTCGAGATTTATGTGAATAAATTGACCATGAATTCGAATTGCTTTCTATACACAATTTAAAGAGTCGTGATTAAACATTTAGAAAGTTCGATCGCACAATTTTTTATTTTCGATAGAAAAGTATTTTTGCCATCGCTTTTAACATTATGAGCAGTATATATAAGTAATTTCAAGCATTCATTACTGTTCAATCACTGATGTTTCCTTGGATTTTGGGCATCATCGTATTACGTTAACTTACTCGCTATAACTTTATTCTTTACAGTCGAGGAGTATGTTGAATAGGGTTTGTAGCGGTTAAAGATACCTGAAATCTATAACTCTGTAAGTCTTCAAAAGTCGATACTGTCTTCATTAGTTCCAATTGGCACACCTTAGCTGAGAGCGCTTGGTCACGCATTTGCATCAGATCAAGTGTAGGTACGACGTGCTATACATCCCTTGCAACTGCTTACCAGTTTAGACCAAATGTTCCCCGACAAACCGATGGCCTTCGAAATTCATCTTCAAACTTCTTCATTTCTGACTTCTGATTTTACAGGGTTTTTATATTCGATTATAAATGTATTACTCTCAAAGGTGTTGACAACCTCCGAGTATTTGTAGCATCTTTAGTTTATATAGTAAATTACTGGATTGAGTTCTGGGTTGAAACCATTACTAGGAAGATGATTTTTCGATGGATATTGTGGATTACCAAAGTAAATGACCTGTGTCGAATGACTGGGGTTCCACTCGATCTAGACGGGTATGATGTGACGAACCAGCTAACTGTAAGTTTTACCTTGCATTCAGCATCTAACGTGGATTACCCTTTGGTGTATCAATGTACTATGGCTGCTTCGAAGACTGTACAACACAAAGGACGTTATTACGGAAATATATTAGTAAGAATGGGTGCAGAGAATATAGTAGGACCACTAACTCATGGACCAGCTTGTGATGTACGAATAATTGATACGGTTGAATGATAAATAAACGCTCATCTCAATGTCTTATATTCTTATATTTATGGTCTTTTTCAATGACAAAAATTTAGATCCAGCAAATAACTTGAGAACTAATTCGGATCCAAATGTTTAATTTTGAACCCAGAGAAACTAAGGCGTAAATTTACTCAATGCGGTACACTGCTTGGCTACTTGTTTTTGCTGTGGAAGTATATTAGGAAGTCTGTGGCATAGGTGAAAGAGAATTCATAACGCTTGGTTATGAATTCTGCTGCGTTTCACGCTGTTTGAAGTAGATTTCTTTCGTTCCTAGTTCAACAAATTATTTGTTCATTTCTTGAACATTTGTGATCAACTCAAATTTGATTTCGTTTTTTAGTTCCAAACGTCACTTTAGAAGCTTCAGACTGAGCATAAAGGGCCGAGTAAATATTCAGGCATTGAGATATTCCCTCTAGAGCGTACTGAACTAAGTAATCTAACTCTACTCATTTTTAATACCCTCCTCTACGTCTTTTTTAATACATGGTAAACTGGGGAGTCAAATATTAAATAGAGGGTTGTTAAAGGCAACGAAGTAAATTTCTGGCAGTTGTGTGCAAATGCGTTTGCTGCTTCCTGTACAAAAGGACGAAAACTGACTGGAAACCAGCGGTAAAGTACAAAGGGACAGTGATATGCCTCTGTTTTGAGTCTTTAAAACAACAAAAAATGACTGAAAATAGTATTGGAAGGTCTTATGACCAAAAACTCAGATTGCTCAATCATCGAGCAAAGTTAGTCACACGAAAACGTCGAATATCCTCTATTTTATAACCTAACACCATAGCAGCCCTGAAGTTATTGTAACTATTTGGACCTCCGGTGTTTTACTGCAGGCCAAACGAAATGTGTCAAATTTTTATTAGTACTCCAACCGCTATCCGAATGACGCTTTCGGTTATTTCTAATTTTACTTCTCAAAGGATAAATACGTGCAAATAACCCTACCAATTTTTCCGGAGTGCTGAAGGATTCCTGCTACATGGGTCCCTCCTGCATTTATTTTCTGTTTTTCACTACTATTATCATTTATGTTTTGTCGATTTCACTTCCCTTTGGTACTTAAAGAGTAAATGCTAATAGATATAGATGTATATAGGGTTCAGCTCCGCCTGTATTTCATTGATTAAATGTGTAGGTAGTGAGGTAGCTGTACATGTCACATAGTAGTTCTAATTGATAGGTTATAATTTCCATTTGCGCGTGACACAAAGTATAACGATTTTCTGTTCTGTTTAGTTCGTGTCAATGATACCCTCGTCCGTTGAAGTCACGTACATGCACTACCTTGAATTTGAACTACCAAGTCATAACAATTAACGTTGTTATGAACAAATCGTCGTTAAAAGTAGTATATAAAGCAATTATATGATCTGAACGTTCACTCACTTTATGCTTTTCTTCTTTCTTTGCAGATGTCAGAAACTCCCGACACACTGATTAGTCTTGAAGAGTTAGAAACTATGTTTAAGGATAGGTATACGGACAAGGATGTTAATTATCAAAACTACTTGTCGAATGCCAATGTACCACCCCCTGTCATACCTCATTGGGGTAGTCTTGTTTGCTACTAAGTTATGACGAGTTTTAGATGAAATAAATCGGGAAAGATTCAATCATCGGGATCGGAGAAATGTAAGTTTTATTCGCTTGTTGATTTGATTCATTTGTTTTATAGGATAACTACAGATTCCAGAGAAACAACTTCCGACGTAACAGTTTGGATTAATTCGATTCATTATCAGATCACAAAACTTTAGGGTAGTTTTTGTTTGAATAAACTTTTATACAAACTTCTGCTTTATTTCGACTTAGAAAATGTAACTACCGTAATTGGGAAACTGAAAAATTTAATTCGTTCCATGAAAGGTTTAGAATTGTTATTTTTGAAGTGCTTAAGGATCGTCTTGTTGATTTGAATTGACGGTTCTATATTCCTTGGTATGTCACTGGTTGTTTTGGAGGTGCTTACAGTCATATTGTCATTTAAAAAAGTTATTGTCGGTCGGTTACTGGTTCCAAGAACTTTATTATTACGTGTTTTGATATATTGAAAAATGGAACACTATAGTTAATAGACTTCTGATTAACCATATCTGGCTTTTCAGTTCTTCTGTCTTCAAACAAAGACCTGAATATGCTTTCCGATTGTTCGCCAGATTATATATGATTTTCTTAGTTTCAATGCCGGGGTTGAACTTGATAGATTTTTATTCACAAATTAATACAGTGACATGTCATACGAATTCGCCTTGACCAAAAATAGCTTGACATTAAAATATTCAGACCTATTATGACTTGTACTAACAATATCCCGTATTGTTTCCTTTGTACTATTTAATATTGCGTTAATTTTATTTCATTTATTTATTTATTCTGAAGAAGTGGCATACACTAAGTCGCGAAATGTCAAAAATACAATTTTATACTCATTGAGATATCACAAAAAATATGTTTCTTGTATATGATTTTACTCTATATCTGAAGAAACCTTATTGATCGTTTCCAAGCATGTGAAAATATCAATGTTTCAGTAAATTGTAATGTCTCCGGTTATTGATTTGATTTATTCAGTTAAGCGTAGGCTACTGATGTTGTTAGTTTCAGACAGTACGATACACTAATTTTCGTTAATATCGGGATAACTTATTAACTTGTTGGTCCTGTCAGTTCATTCATTTCAGTCAGATATTGTTTACTGTTGGTGGGTATATTAACCAGACTTTCATCGATTATGAATCTTACTCTGGTTATTAACTAAAAGTGATTTTTTGTCAATTGCCTTTGCATTTATTCCTAACTTGACTTTTTAAATGCATCATGTAAACGTCCATTGTAATATGCACTCTGAAAACTTAAACAATCAAATTAATTTGAAATTGATTCTCATAGTGAAGTTATTTTAGCGAAAGAACTACTGACATCCGTATTTCGTAGGTCGAAACTCCTCAATGACATACACGTTTTACCCCATTCAGCTGATGTGAATTCGTGTTGACAATCGTCTTCAGATTATGCAGAGCAATTCACACAGTCATCTGATAAGCCAGTTCAATTAGGTAGCCCCAGTCTCTTGCAAGGACTTAAGAGTGTAGTTTACGTAACTTGTAAAACTTTATGTCAGAAACGTTTCAATCCATGATCGTGAATCTGTCATGAAATATTACCATATATCAATGCAAAAGTTAAGATAATCTATGACTGTTCACTAAGTCGCGCAGAATAAAATGTGTGCGAACCCATGACTTATCAATATGCAACTTAGTGATTCATTTAAGTAGTATTCCTCATGTTTTAGACAATAAAGTTAAAGTATTGTGAAACGTTAAAAAATTTCATTATCATGATTATAATGAACTTATCAAAATGGAATAAATTCTCATTACCAGCCAGATTCAAGTAGACAATCCGTTATTATTAAACTGAATCATTCTTTTAAAATGGTTGCGAAAGATCTTTTGGTGATAATCAGATTATGAAAAAAATTAGACATTTTTGTCGAATTTGTTAACTACACCTTTTATTTATATGACAAATAACCGAAGTGCATGACATAAACATATGTCACTTCATTGCCTTAACTTGTCTAACCATGTACTACAGCATGATCGCAGCATAAATATTTCTATTTCATAAAAAAGATTTTGACACCAACATGAAATAATTAAGAAGAATAAAACAATGCAGTGAATATCTTTTCCGGAGAACGAAACATTCCTATATTCTGTAACCGTAAATTGCGACCCCTGAACTATTTTCTATAAGAAATTTGGGAGGTGATTTAGTATCTGAAGCAAGAATGAATTTTTTCAATGAGAATATACCATTATATTTTTATTTGCATGAAAATACCGTATTATTACTGCACCCAACTGCATCACAAGACAAGCCCTCACATGGGATCCTCAAGGATAAAGGAAACGAGGAAGACCAAATAACACATTACGGCGAGAAATTAAGACAGACATGAGAAAAATGAACAAAAATTGGATAGAACTAGAAAGGGGAGTTGAAGACAGCGTGGGTTGGCGAATGCTGGTCGGCGGCCTATGCTCCATTAGGAGTAACCGGCGTCTTCCTCCTTACCGTATTATTACTATATTTGCCTACTCAATATTGGGTAATATTTATTCTCTAAAATGTTCTGTAAGTGAATAAGAATGTACATTACTAGTAGTATGTAGTGTCGTGTTGCGATTTTCCGATGATAATTACTTGTCTTATAATAAAACTTGTTTTTTTAAGGCAAAGAACTCTTCACTGTCGTTTTCAGGAAGTAATTCTCATATCTTATCATAACTACACCGTTTAGGCTACTACTGCGATTATCAATGATAATTTTGTCTTCAGTCACCTCCAATCGATGCTCTTTCCGCTACGTGAAACTTGGAAATTTGGATTATACTACTCACAAATGTTAATCAGTAGCACCTTTAGAATGACAGTTTAATCGCCAGATTGATACTACTTTACAGACCATTGTAGTTGCATTCTATGAATATTTCTTTTATTAAGAATTATTTCATCATACCTTTATTGACTGGCCGGACTTGACACTTTTTAGTTTTATGATTTTTCCATCTTCACAAATTTGTCGTTCGGGCCAAAGATAAGATATTTTCAACCCACATCAGTACTCATAATGTCGAAAATTTTGTAAATGGTTTTCGTTTCCTTCATTGACCTATAAGTTAAATATATGTCAGCTATTCAACAAAATTCTGGAGACTAACGTCTTTAAGATTTACCCTACTTATGGTTTTCACATTATATCCAATTTTCTGTCTATAATTTTTAATATAATATTCGGGGTAATATCCTTTGACGTCTATCATCCAGTTGGTTTTTGAGCTGAGATAGAAACGTATGCTGACCTATTCTTCCAATGGAGTGTATCTCGATATTGTCACAGTTTACCTTCCAAAACTAATATCCTGCTAGTTTCCAATTTTTCCAGTCTTGAGTTTCTTAAAAAACAGAATGCAAAGAATTTATAGTTTTCTTACCTGGTTTAGTTCCGGATTTCGTATACTGTCTACTTGCTGTTCTTGAGTAATAGCAGTGCTGAATAAAATAAGCTCTAGCTCAGTGTTATTAGGCTTCCTTTTCAGCATACATTAAACTAATCATCATACAAAACAATTTATGATTGGGAAATGATAAGCCATTTAGAGGAAATTAATATTTCTTCCATTTATAACTCCATTAGTATAAAATAGATTCTTGCTATTTCCATATGATAGGTCACATTTTTCATGTTTTTACTTGTTTGCAATGTCATTTAATCAAACTAACACTACTTCAGTGTGAATCAAACAATTTTTGTGGACTGTAAGGTAAGTGATTCAGTTCCCAGTTTACACTAACTTTCTAGACAACAGCACAGATGCCAAAGGTTATCATACCATTCAAATCAATAATAATAATGAAAGAAATAATATGTGCAATAGGAATAAAAGAGTGAACAATTTCTGTACATGTCTTATGGGGAAAATTTATATACGTTGAAAAACATGACAATATCTTTCACTGTAGGCAAACCCAGAAATAAAGGGCAATGATTCATCCAAACTAATGTCTACATCGTAGTAAATGTGTTTGTTTATTAATCTGCTTACTTCATTGTATGCATTCAAAATGAATCAGAAAAATATTTAGTTGATAATTTGTCTCTAATCAAATCAATGACTTATGGATATTTTCCTGTGGTAAATAAACATCAGTCAAAGGCAATTGAAGACGAAGGAACACTAGATAAATATTTCATTCTAGTCTCAAAACCATTGACAGTTTTCACCCAAAAGCCTTTGATTGATCTAACTCATGATCTTCAGATTTCACAGTGCGGGATGGTACCTTTAACCCACTAAATTAGAATATACTGATCGATATTTATATCTTCAGTTAAGTAAAAAGTAAGTTCGGAAATGATAAGAGAAACTTAAAGCCTAAAGTAATTGGTTTTTTCCACACTAAAAACCTCAGGATCACGGTCACTTGCTGAAAATCATCACCATCCATAAATTACAATCGAAAACAGATTGCTTATGAATATTAGATCAAGGCTAGGGAAAACAATGATCAACGCAGTTACTAAGCCCATTAAAAATCTTTTCCATGAAAATAGTTCCAATCCATTTGTTTGTTTATTGTCAAACAGGCACTTTATTCATGATCTAAATATGATTACGAAAACCAACAATCGATTTCAAAACATCCTTTCATAAATATTAACAAAACTTCAGTTTATTTCAGCATTCTTTTTCAACATCTTGTTAAACGAAAAGAATAGTTGTTTTAAAAAACAGATGGATGCATTTGTACATCTACAATAAGTTTTATCTTAATCAATAATTATTCGTAAGATAGATAAGAAGGAAAAGAAGAATGTTCATTTGTCCTCGAATACCTCATAAAGTTATTTTACATGGTAAGCATTTAAAGAAAATCATTAACATAGATGAATTCATATTAATCTTACTAAAGTTTTAGTTATGGATTTATTAGTTTATGAAGAGGAAATTGTATGACATTTTCTGTGTTCAACGATGCTTTTCAACAAGTCATACATTATTTATTGGTTACTTATTGTTGATTGCTAATTCTACTATCATTTCTCTTCCTTACTTTTAGTATTATTGGTATAACGTTTGTACTGATGATATTGTCCGAAAAGACAATAAAAATTGTATATTATCAACAAATTTGCATGTGTGTATATCTATGTAGAAGAAGTACAATTGACGAGAAATCGGTATGTTAATGGTTAAGTTTATGTATAAGAAAAGAAAGAACCTTAAACAAATTATGCTGAAGTTTGTATCTGCCAATTATTAAAAAAAACAGAATGTTTAAAAATATAACGATTGAAATTCATAACTTAGAGCCTGGGATAAATACACATAAACTCAAATTGTCATATTTTTCATTAATACAGAGATAAGAAATTAGAAGGATAAGCATTAAAGAAATCGTAATAGTAGTAGTGGTAATAAAAAGAGGAGTTGAACATAAGGAGTAAAGTATTTTAGGAACGAACAAAATCGACAAACCAAAAATGTAAAACAATACTAAAACTCAAGATCTAGGTGAAGATGAAAGATGTATATCTATTCTCTATGGGCATCGATTTTGAATTACATGGTCTAGTATCTAATACCACAGACTAGTGTTACTATGAAGACTTCAACCAAGAAATCACTTTCTGGTATGCTTCTGACCAAGAGTCAGGGAATCCATGGACTGATTCATGTCTTGTCCCAATCATCCCCAACCTTTTACAAACCTACTGTTTTCCTAGTGGACATATGTTGTAGTAGACGTTAAATGAGTCTGTAAAACACATTCTCCAATCGCCTTATTAGGTGAAGATCCATAGTTTCATGGATCCATTTAACGTTTTCAACAAACACCCCTACTTCTGACATATGCATCACTAACTTTATATTTTCACCTAACTTTGTAAATACCACGAAGATGGTTATGATCAAATATTAACAACATATACATCTCATCTACCTTTAGAGTTTATTTTTCACAACCATAAAAATAGAGCTCTCAGTTGTATATATATCCAATGCTCAAGATTTTTCAAACCATTTTAGGTTTGTACATCTAACTGTCTTGCATATCTCATGATGTGAAATCGAAGCAGCCATTCTGATCAATAAAAATAAAGTCCCCAATATGTTAGATGAATAGCTGTTTATGTGTTGATAGTTGCATATAGGGTGGTAGCTTACTTATCCATATGATAAGTGAACAAATTATAGTTATAAAATCTGTTGGCAGGAAGCGAATATTTTCATTCGCTCTGTTGAGTGGAAATTAAATCAACTCCGTGATAAGGAATAGTAGTAACTTATTTAGCTTAAAAGTCTTTGAGGTAATTATTCGAGATTGTTCTCTACTTCATGGGATACATAACTCACATTGTTTAGTATTTTCTGGACAGTTTGTTAGAGTAATTACTACTGAACATGATGAGAACTTATTACAAAGAATAATTTTCATTTGTCTGTGTTCGATATACGTCTAACACGTGTACTGTATTATTGGATGCAGATGAATAATATTTTCAAGTCAATGAATAACTGTTCGAAAACATATAATGTATGAAAATCTTTTTTTTTAAACTTCATTTATCAGTCATATTGTATGAAGTGATTCTTAAAGATGAAAATCGTATAATAGTCTTAATCATTTAATAGATTCCAAAATTTTAATTAGCTTTCATATGATGAGTTTCAAATTGCATTATATAGAACATTTTTATAAATGATCTATTACAGGGTAATGACCATTGTCATGTATATCTAGTCTCTTAGTATTCATCTATTCTTATTGACTGAGGTGCAGTGTAGCTGCTAGTCTGAGTAACTTTACGTCGGGTAAATTATGTTAAGATTTTACATGATTAAAGGGAACCCTCTAACCACCTAACAATAAATTATTTCAATAAATTCACAGTACTTTATTCTGATTACGGTTAGATCGTAACACAGGGGTTTAATACATTTACTTATATAATAGCTGATTTCTAAGCATCGCTTTATGTTAATATGAAACACGATTTTCATCCATTTTTTTACTTCGGTGAATATGGCATTAACACCAAAACAACTTAGATTTTTCACAGAAATTTACTTCATTCTTATCAAAGTTTACTTAGCCCACATCACTGAGGAAAACTGCTGTGTGAAATTTTAGAGTTAAGATTTTGATGAATTCTAGTGACAATTTTTTAAAAAAAACTTCATAAGTCCATCAACACGGAAATACTCAAATCCAATACGATACAACATTGATTTTGGAAGAACAATACACTTGTACGAAAAATGTCGGGGAAACGGATAGCTTGTATGAGTGCTTGATCCTGTATCGTTTTCTAGTCCACTTCACTAAGATATACTAGATTGGTATGAAGTTTTGAGAATCGACCGAATTAGTCATTATTTATCTTGCGGATTTACTTACTACAAGTATTCTTCAAAACTCCACCTATAGCTCTTCTAGGACTACCGCCAGTCCGAAGCCCGAGTAAAGGAGGAGGATTGAGCGTGTGGTCGGCAACCCCATCCCGTAGAAAACAACCTTGTCAAAAAATCGCTAACTAGTAAGTAAGTAAGTGTTCTTCAAAAGAAGGTTACGATTAATGAATGATCAAGTGAAATCTAATTTAAGATATTAAAAATAATGTCTGAAAAACTTCACAGTTGAGACATTCTCAATGAAATTTATCAACTGATATAATGATATTTAATTATTACAATCGAAGAGACTAATTTATTTGCAGATAGTTTACATAAATTAGCTATGTACAGTTTATAGAAGTGCGCTCATCATCAAGTTATCCACTGAAAAAAACTTAGGTTTACCGAATATGACATTCTGCGCCTAGAGATTCACTGCTAATAAAGTGGGAAAACTAATTTACTTTTATGAACGTTGTTTTTGAGCATCTTTCAGTAGAAACATGTACTGCTGGATAACTTTATTGGAGAAAAGAAAATCGATTTTATTGTCAGTTTATCGTCAATAATTCTTTTAAATTATGAATTGGAGATAACGTTCACCATAAACTAAAGTTTTGAACTTTTTAGGAGTTTTCATTCATGACCTCATATTTAAAGGAAAGTAGATCGGTAAGTGAGCAAGATATATTTAAACTGTTGATTGAAAAACCACTAGTTCACATTTTCAACTTCAGTCAGTTTGTATCATAATATATCTCTCAATAAATATTAATGGTATTAGACTAATGCACCTGTTGTCACACCATCAATTTGTACTTTTCACATTTTACTTATTATGTAATCTTTTCCATTGTTATCATTGACTTATAAACTACCTTGATTGGTTTAATAATTTCGTATATGCATATAAATATTACTGTATATTAGAGTAAAGCCTGATGAGGATCTAATCGAAAACGATAATTTAATAATTGAATTCATGAGTCAATTGAAGCTAGACCATCATGGAAAACCTGGAAGCAATGTAAGGCCGTTTCATCCTAGTATGGGACTTCTCAGCAGTACGATCCCACTCCGCATGATTCCAACCCAGGACCTATCAGGTCTTCCATAGTGGTCTAGCTTCAGTTGACTCATGAATTCAATTATTAAATTACTATAATCTCCACAAAACCTCTCTCTGATTAATGATAAATAATTTTTATCATATCAGTTCATTTGCGATTTTTTTCTGTGGCCAATAATAATTACATTTCAATTTTTGGGAAGAAAAACTACAAATAAAAGGCGTAAAGAAAAATATTTTGACGAAACTCTCAAAAACAATATTTTAGAAAAAAAGATTTAAAATATTATTTGAAGGGTGTTACCAGGGTTAGATGGAAAATTATTTCCCATAAGTGAAATATTCTGTTTGGTAATAACAACTGATAAGATTTTTATTAACTTAATCCCTTGTAGAATCGATGATATTTTTAAATAAATTAATAGTAATAAAAGTTGGATAAGAAAATGTTTGTTTGCTAAAAAAGTTTAAATTAACTAAATTGTTAGTTGTTTAAAAGATTCTTAATTATAAGCTGAATTATAATAAGTAATGAGATGTATAGGGGACTTGAATATTTACAATGAAAATAGTTTTTTTATAAGCTCCAGTGTGTAGTCGTTAAACATAACATAATCTTCCTTATTTTGACTTGTAGGGTCAGTGAAATGTCACTGAGCCCAAGACAAATTTTCCGGCAGTTGGGTCACTGAATATCGAACAGATCAACGATCCCTGTCAAAGTCAAGAAAAACCAACGCGCGTCAGTTAATCGTGTGCCATGGAGTGGTCAATGCGGTGGTGATCTCACTATCCTCTCTGTACTTATTCTTGTTAATATAGTTCCGTAATAACGTGCTTTGTGTTGTACGATCTTCAAAGCATCCATAGTACCTTGATACGACGGAGGGGTAATCCACGTTAGGTACTGACTGAGAGGTGTGATTTCGACGTCAGTTGTTGGTCACACCATTCTCGTCTAACTCGAGTAGGCTTCCAATCATTCAATTTAGATCATCTACGTTGGTGATCTACATACTCATTCTTCGATACAATGTTATCTATAGACCATCAAGTGATACAAAAAATTTTATTATTTTTTAATGGCAAAATCGGTCAGCTAATTGCGATTGACTTGAAGACTAAAATATATCATGATCACGGATAATACTCTATTTTTTTAGTTAAAAACACAAGACCATGTTTTCCTACTTTATTATATTACGCAGTAATCAATATTACTTTTCAACTTTTATGACACACAGATACAAGGATATACAAAATGATTTCTACTCGTAATTACCCAAGGTAACTGTTGACAATTCTTTGGCTAATAAGTTTCCTTGAATATACTTTACAAATAATCCATAAATAAATCATTTGTAAGCCTTGTTAATGCTATAGACTATAAATGGCCAATCTCTTTTGGTATGTATATACATCTTGAGTGGAATGCTTTGATATTGCCATTAAGTCATAATATCTTAATCGTTTTAATTCTTTAAACTTGACTTGATGTTATGTTGATCATTTTTTTAATGATTGTTAATAATTAACTTATTGAATTCGACTATCTTGATAAACTTGAATAAAGACAGAACTATAATTTAGTAACAATATCTTGAATTTAAACCTTATAAGTTCTTTCTAGTCTAACATAATTACTCGTCTTAATAATGAGTAAATTGTGAAAAAGTCTAAAAAGTGTTTATTCAATACTAAGTTTTAAAAGGTTGAATGTGTAAGTAGAACGCTTTAAGTTCTTGATTGAGATCATGAATCGATTGGTTTAAACCATTATTGAAAACCTGGGAGCACTGGACCGCCGTTTCATCCTATTATGAGACTCCTCGACACTGCGCATCCACAAACCCGATCGCGGGATTCGAACCCAGGACCTTCGACCATCCAGTGCTTCCAGGTTTTCAATGATGGTCTAATATTAATCGATTCATGATCTCATTTGGAAACTAAATAATCTCCACAACCTTATACTGAGAACGCTTTAAGTAAATGTTTCATATTTATTAATCACAGAATGTAAGTTTCTCAGTTGAAAACTAGAGCTGTACAAAAATTCAGTTGATTCTAAAATCATAAGACTATTAGTACATATTTAGCTACATTTAAAAGAACTTTGATATGTTTGATTGTTCTGAGATTTCTAAGTCTGCATATAAAGAGAAGATATGAAAGACATTTTTGAAGTTTGTCATAATGTTTTAAATTCCTCACAAAGATTATCGATTTTAAACATTTAATAGTGTTAGGTATTTACCGAGACTTATAAAAGACGTTCAACAATATGTACACTACAACAATTAGTTCTCCAATACTTAGCAAATCTTTTGAGAAACAATTCTTTCGATTGTCTAACAAACATTTATTTCACCGGCTAATTATTATATTAAGGAGAATTTATCATTCGGGAATGTTGTTATAACTTGTGACCGCCGATTAGAGAGCAGTGACTTATCGATCGGATGGAAGACGCGTAAACACGTGCGAGCAGTCTAGAGTTCTGATTGGCCCTGCTTTCCGCCTAACCCAGCCAGATAAGTCCAAAACGCAAGTCTCAGCCTCTGTGATATGAATCATTTATTTCAAACATACTCGGTTTATATATCAACCAGACAAACCACAACGTACCATAAAATAGAAAATAACATTTGTACAATATTTGGCCAACAAGAAAATGACACGTGAAATAAATATTGACCAATAGGAAAATGATGCCATTTCAAGTGCAAGAATAGCATTAGAATTAACAGGATAATTTTTGGGATATTTTTCTGAATATCCCAACAGTTGACTTATTAGAACATCTTCAGAACACTTCATAAGATTTGTTACTGTACTTCCTGAAAATATCTACTGACATGAGGAAGTGACAAAAAGCAAGTAATATTCGATTTCTAAACTTACCAATAAATGCGAATTTCTGAACTTGTTATTAGTCTAAAGTTGAATTTAATTTTTTGTGGACTGAATCTACAGTTTAGTCAAACATCCATAAAGTATGAAGTTTGATGCTTTCGTAAACATACTTCAGTTTTTAGCATGAATGATTTGTAGTGGGTCCCACTTGGAAGACTTGAAACAGATGGAAATAACGTGAACTTATAGATAGTGAGTTCAACATCCCTGTGGGATTATCGATACTGATTAATATTTAACTGATGTAAGGCAATAACTAATCGTAATTATTTTGAAACATTTTCATCTTTGGGAATATGATAATTAAATATAATTCTTAGTATTTTGTAGTATACTTACTACTGAACTATACATAAATATTGTTACCCAAACAAATTATCTATTATAAAAAGGACCGCAAATAAAAGACCTAGACATTTGCATTTTAAGTTTAGTACTGATTTATCTGGTTATGAACAGTCAGTGTGATATCAGTTATTCTACTTGTTTATCATTTCTATTCCCTGTTACAGTGGAAACTACCCTTCATTGACTTAGAGTTAATCACTAAATGTAGTACTTAATATTGATTACAAAAATTTTCCGAATGATGTAAACTACCTGCTTATGATGATATTGACCAACAGGCTTTTAGGTATCTTACAACTAATAGGCACAACTCATAATTGATCAATATGCATGATCAATTGAAACCTAAATGAGTATGTTTAAAGTGTATTCCTTTTCATTTCTACCTTAATATTTTCTCATAATTCAGCTATTTCACTTACTCAGATCAAAAGTGGTAAACATGTTTTTACATGTAAATCTTTTCATTAAATTAATAAATATATAAAAATCCTTTATGAATGTTACTACAATTAAGTTGATTAGAACAATGTCATTAAAATAGAAAAGAATCTATGTTTATTCACATATATGTATATATGGGCTAAAATAAATCATTATTTTAATTTATATTACCTTTCCTGTCAAAGTCTTATAGGTTAGATACACATATAACTAGTTCAAAAGGTCAATAAATATTCATCATTGATTGTCAATATTATACCATAGTAACTTATTTCTTATATCATAATACTTGTAACATAATGACATTTATTTATTGATTGATAAAATCTAATTAACTTGTAAATGTTTTGTGAAACTAAACAATATTACCATTGACTTGAATTTATTTTCAGATTTTATTCAGATTAACTATCATTTCAAATTGCTAATATACATAGAAGAGAGAGTATGATTAGGGATAAACTTAAAATTAACATGACGAATCATTACCCAGTTCTTAGGTAATCAGAAAATATCTCTAGTGAAAAAAACAACTTATTGTAAAAGAAAACAATAGTACTACAAAATATAAACAGATTTTATCTATTAAATACATTTGTTTCCATCTTCTAAAAGTTTCTATTCCTGTAAATTGATGAAGGAACGATAAAACAAAACTAATCCTTATGAATATAGATTATTCGTCTCCACTAAGTTTTCAAATGACCTACATATATTTTTTCTGAGTATCCATACAGTTCTTGGTTAGGTTTATGTATTTAGAGTACAGAATGGGATTTGTAGATTAGGATTTTCATAAACTGGGACAATGCTTTTTTTCCAATATGGATGACCGAATTTTGTGCAAAAATCTTAAAAGGCTTTATGTGATTAGTTTTTCTATAAAATATAGTTCCACAACGTTGAAGTTAGTTTCAGGATTAAGGGTTTCTGGTTAGAGTTTATGGTTAGTATCAATTCACCTATTATCTACAATCTACAGAGATAGGATTGAGCACTTATTACACTCAACACTATCATTTTTATTCTATGACATCAAAAAATAATTTTTCTCAAATTTAAACGTTTTAAACAGTATAAAAATGTATTTCAGCTGCTCATTATACGTGATATTTAAAGTTTACACAAAAGCTTAAAAATCTCATTCTTGATTCAGATTGATTCGTTCCTATATCATACTCTTACCTATATATATAAGCAATATTAATGGTAAGACAATACAAACAATTTCGTATGTTCAAAGATCATTTAATTCAAATGAGAGCAGTAGTCACTACCTTGTATTCGAAGTATCAACGCTTACATTTAGTAATAACTCTTTCATGAAGCTACAATGGGTAGACGATATGAATCATCTTCTTGTGAGTAAATTATTGAGCTGCTGTAAAAAAGGTTCATAAACCCTAGTCACTCATCTGTCGAATCGAGAATTATGTACCATTCGTTTATTCTAAATGACTATCATTAATCTTTGATCATTTAACTCTTGTTATTATAATCATTTCCGACTCAGTGGTCCAGAGGTTAAGTGTTTGCGCGAGATCGAAAATCATGAGTTCGAATCTTGCGTGAGAGATTGTGGATGCCCATTCATGAAGAGTCCCATACTAGGACGAAACGGCAATCCAATACTTTCAATTGTGGTCCAACATTGCTCGGTTCATGATCTCAGTTATAATCAGTTATAATTAATTAATTCTAACTCAGAAATGTTGAACTTTCTGAGAATTAACTAAGAAGAATATATTTCCTCCGTGTATTTGTTAACCTTATAGCAAACCATTTCAACTCATTTATTTAATGAGACTTATGAAGTACTATATATATATATATATATATATATATATATATATATATATATATATATATATATATATATATATAGAGAGAGAGAGAGAGAGAGAGAGAGTTTCAACCACTTTTTAGGTCGAGTTCCACTGGTTGACGATTCAATAGAAAAGTCAGTAGCCAGGTGATAAGCAATTGGTTTTGAGTTTGTCAAGTTATTTGGAGTGTCTTCTTCCACACCAGAAGTGAAATTATTATCAAGTCATTTACAGACAATTAAGTTGTCTCTAGTCCTTCTGTATAACACGATAGTAAATTTAGTTCACTCAGTCTCTCATC